GCGACCCGTCTGCAACTACTACTACGCCAAGCAAAATGAATAGTCACGGTCGTCCAACTGCCAACTATGTTATTTCTCCCACATGGTGTCCCACTTCTTTCCCCTGAGGAACGCAGCGGCAACGGTCTTCCTCATCAATTTAAGCCACTACGGCAGGACTTTGACATTAACGACGGTCACACGTGTGCGAATCAATCAATGAACTTAACACATTTTCATGTTAGGAGGTGAAAAGTAAAAAGCGGTGAATATAAATTTTAGATTTTATATAATAATCTTTATCAAAAGTCTAAGAGGCCGAAAACAGGCTGACAGAACTGTTGCAGAACAATAAATGCAAGTCTTGCAGCATATAAAAATGTATGAAGTAGTGCTTTCACGGGGGAAAGAAAAATGATGTAATCTGGTGGTGTATATGGCGCAACAGACCAGGGAGGTTTACTTGAAGTTGAAGTTAACCCAAACCAGGTACTTCTGCTTCACTTGAGCCGTGTTGTAGACGATAAACTCGTTGTACAGCAAATGGCCGGAAACCGCAGTGCTCTTGGGCTGGCCAGTAGGACAGACGACCCCATTCTCGTCGGTGTAATAGGTATCCGGATCAGGACATGTCGCGCCAACACCTATAGCGCATTTCGAAAGTAATTATAACACAACTACTGAATCCAACATAGTAGAAACAACGTTTTGGTAAAAAATAGTGAGTACCTTTGCGACTATTATACTCGCCCTTCAGTTTAGAATCATCAGCCCTGGAGCACTCATGCATTTTGCCCAGCGCCACTTCACAGAGCAACAAGCAGCCCTGAGGCATTTCGTGGCTGGGGTAACAGTAGTTGGCCGACTTGCTGGACATGTCCGCAAAGTAGATGCCCTTCCCGAACATGTAACCGGTGACGGGAGCTTCGGGCGGCGCAATACGAAGACCTTGAGCCCTGCAAGGGAGTGAAGACAAAGACATCGACATTTACACGTTCGTTTTGAATGAAAAGGCCAGAAACATAAGGCACATTTTAAAACACAAATGGAAAGCAAATACAGTAGTCGCCGGCTATTAAGTCCACTTCGGGCCTAGACCAAATTGGGCTTAATAGGCGGCTGGGCTTATTAACCATGGGCTTAGTA